TTTTTATTGGGGAATTGGGGGGATGGGAACAGTGCTGGGGGGGGGGGGGGGGGAGAACACACAGCATATGACAGCTAAGCTGGGAATGCGAGCGGGGTTGTTATTACACAGAGTGATCAGAGGTGGCTCCTCTGAGAAGATGACATTTAAGCAGGCACTTTAAGAAGGGGATGGAGGAAGCCATGGCACTCTCTGGGGGAAGAATGTCGTAGACCGGGGGACCAGCACGGGCCAGCGCTGTGTGGCAGGAGCACGGGAACATGCCATCAGCTCAGCACTAGCAGGAGACCCCCATGGCTGGAGGGGAGCAAGAGAGGAGGGGAGCAGGACTCAAACTTGCAAAGAGAAAGGCTGTGGTGCGGAGGCTTCAGGGCCGCTTATAGGGCGATAGGCCCTTTGGATTTTACTCTAAGTGAGATGAGAGTTATTGGAGTATTCAGGACCTGACCTACCGTATTTCCCCATGTATAAGATGCACCCTTTTTCGAAAAATTGGGGGTCTAAAAACTGGGTGTGTCTTATGCAGTGGTTGTATGAGCGCAAAAACAAGCATGAAAAAAGTGGGAAATGCAAGTAAACAAAAATCTACAACCACTGTATAAGACGCACCCAGTTTTTAGACCCCCAATTTTTCGAAAAAGGGTGCGTCTTATATATGGGGAAATACAGTATATTTCAACAGGATTGCTCTGGCTGCTGGGTGGCCAATTGGCTTTCAAGGGCACTGTTCTAATTTAGGTAAGAGTTGGCAGTAGCTTAGACAATGGGGGTTAGAAGAGAAGATGTGAGAAATGATTCGATTCTGGATATATTTAGAGTCCAGATTTGACAGAATTTGTTATTGGATATGAGAGGCTAGAAATAGCAAAGAGTCAAAGATGATTCCAAATGTTTCTGTCTGAACAATGGGACAAATGGATTTACTATTTACGGAGGCCGGGGTTTTGGGGGGCGCTATAGGAGAGTCAGGGTAGGAAGGAGATCAAAAGTGCTGCTCTGAATAGCAGTTCAAGGTGACTACTAAACATCAGGCAGAGATGGAAGACGGGCAGTGGGATCCCAAAGTTGGATATGAAGAAGAGGTCTTAGCTGTAGACAGAAATGTGTGAGTCAGCAACATATAGATGATATTTATACCCATGAGACAGGATTTTTCTTACAGTAAATGCTTAATAAGTGGACAATATCTTACTCATATTTGTTGCTCAGTAAGTGGCAGTGATTACTGTCCACAAAGGGGGACCCAGGAGTTAGAAGAAGAGACTTGCCGAGTTCACAAAGCAAGTTAGAAATGAAGCCAATAGCAGAACGCCACTGCTCCTTGCTCCTGGTCGTCTGCTCCTTCCTGCAATATGTGTTGGTATATTTTCTCCAGAACGTCATTCCTCCCTCCATTCACAAGCCTGGCGATCTTGCCTGAAAAACTCACGGCGTGAATGCCATGGGGCAGCCTCTGTGCAGAGCCAGGGCACCTCAGTGGCCTGGTGCTCCCTCTCCCCAAGTTCTCTTCCACTTCTCTCTGGGCACCAGGAGTAAGGAGAGGGCTTCTCCAGGCTACGCCTCATGTCTCTGCAGAGTCAGGCCAGGATTTGACTTTATCACCACAATTGTCTCTTACCCTTTAGTTGGGAGCCTGTTCAGACACATTTTGTAGCCTTTACACAGGCCTACTGGGGATGCTATTAAGAAAATGCAATGCAGCTCTAGTGTGCCGTTTTACCAGACAGCTGAGTCTTCTTTCCCTTAATGAAGACATTTGGGCTTTAAGGCATTGTCACCTTAAGCACTATCCCTATACCCATAGCGCATGTGTGCTCTAGGGTGTGCTCACGTGCACACAATTATTCCTACCCAACAGCCCGGTAAACATTTGTGGAATTATGTGCTTCTGGATCTCATCCTGTAGGTTTCCTTTTTTTTTTTTTTCCTTAAAAAAAGAGGCAAGATTGTTGGTGGGAGGGAACAGAAGGGACCTTTTCTCTGTATCCATCCATGTAGCTCCAGCTAGAGTGGTGAGTCCTGAGGGTGGGACCTGGTTTCCCAGCTGACCTGCCTTCATGTTCAAGTTCGTGGTTTCTAATGATTTTTTCCTTTAGCCACAGGCTTGAGGGCATAATTCCAAACTGTGGGCAATCTAGGGAGTAGGCATGGGTTAGCCGGTTTTGAAAAGGACCAGCTTTTCCACTGATATCCCCTAGAATTACACCCACATGCCCCACAGCTGACAGCTGAAAATGTCACTAGAATCCACTGGGATGGCCTTCTCAACTTTATTGTTGATGATGCTAATGCCCAGAGAAGAACGGTGAGAGGAAGTAAATCATACCTCCAACAGATGGCAGACCCAGGATTCAAAATCAGGAGCTGGTGCTCTTAGCCCATGCTTCTCAAGCCGCAGCAGGTCTGCAACGGGGCCTGCTGTTCTGGATGTCTCACCAGCTGCCAGCTATTGTTTATGCTTCCAGCCTAAGGACTACCTTTGATATAGCAAGGCTCTAAATACTCTTCCTCCCAAATAGCCCTCTCATGTTCCTCACAAACAATAAAGGGCCTAGCCACCATATTTGTTAATTTAATTATCCTGACAAAGCATGCTCACTTCCATCACCTCATCTTCTGCATCTATTTGCCATGTAACCTGGGCTTCAGGTATACCAACACTTACAGCTCCCTGGAGGCACCGTGTCCTGTCAGGCTTACATGTATTTCACTGGCTGTTTCCTCCCCTTGAAATACATTTCTCCCCATTTTACTCAGAGACCAGAGACTCCTTTTTATTGAATGCATTTCCAATTCATTCAACCCAGACATCTTTCCTCCTACAGTCATTCCTGACTCACCATCCCCAGCCCTGACCAGAGTAAGGGGCCCCCGTCTCTGCTCTCATGCCCCCCCATATGTCATAGTCCTTGTCCCTGTGTAGAGTCATCGTCCTTTCCTTATCTGGACTGTGAGCTTTGTTAGGGACTGGGGAGAAGAGGGTTCAAAACGTGTGTCTTGCTCAGCTCTGCATAATGCTGACTCAGCATAATGCTGACATGTATAGTTCACAGAAAATAATAAAAGGGGGAAGGAAGGAACTTTCCCTTCCCAGGACCCCCTGGAACAACTTTATACACCATTGTTTAGTTTCATACGTCATATCCACTTATATGTGTACTCAGGTTAAATATTTTCCATCTCTGGAGGAATCGGGTCACCAAGAACTGTCCAGTAGCCTCTAGATGCTCTGGTTTCACCATTCCATTCAGCCACACCCCCACCTGCATCCCTCTGCATTCGCCACTCCTCCCATCCTCACATTGTCCCCCAAACTCCCCATGCAAAGCCTTCCCTTCTGACTAAAGCTCAGCCTCTTCCCTCTACCTGAAATGTCTTCCATCCTTTGATTATCTACCTTCCAAATTTCTGTTCACTTAATTGTCTCTCATTTC